GTTTCAGAGTTCCGTACACACTTCAGTTACTTTACGATCGCACGAACAATAGGAAATGATAATTCATCGCCACCATCTCCCGCGCGTAATATCAGAGCCCGGAACTGGCGGGCTCGAAATTCGCGACGCTGCGTGGATTAACGCGGAGCTGTTCCGACGACGTTACTGAAAATACACATAAAACATTGTCTCGTCCGGGGATATTCTTTTTCGCTCGCGAAAGTGTTTCTCAAGTCTCCCACAAATGCAGAAAAAAGGCCCCAAAACTGTCTCCGGGAGTTCCAGCCGCAACCGCTGTCGCCAACTGTCGCGATTACTCGAATCAAAGGAACTCCGCTCAAAGGAATCTAGAAAAGAAATCTTACGCTGCGATTATCAAGTAACAAAATAATCACAAAGTGCGAACTTGTTCCGCGGGCTAAGCTCCAGCGCCTCGAGACGTTCGAGTGACTACGCGAAAGTATCCCCTCCGGATCTTAAGTCGTCTCCTCACCCTGCCTCTCTCTTAGACGATAAGAGGCGGTAAGGGGCGAGAAGGGGCTTGTATCGAGAGGAACGTCGCGAGCGAGCGAGCGAGCGCGAGCGCACGGTTAGGCTCGTTTCGCCTAAGCCTAATTTATAGGGATGTTTCGTGTCCTCCACAGTTGCCCCGCGGGCTGTGTCCTATTACTCCTATTCTCTATTATGCGCCACCGCCGTAGGCCGGAGCCTCCCGATATCTATGTGCCATTCTAAATTATTCGGTATTGTCCTCGCATGATTCCATTGTCCGCGTCTGTCTCCACCGTGCGCGCTGATACGCCACGCCGCCGCAGGTTAGGGCGTAGACCTACAACAACACCCGCCGTCGGATTGCGCGCGCGTGTATCTGCTTCGAGTGCGTCTTGTCATGATCGGTCAAGTGAGGAGAGAGGTCCCGGCGTGTGCGACTCTCTTTCTCTCTCTCTCTCTCTCTCTCTCTCTCTCTCTCTCTCTCTCTCTCTCTCTCTCTCTCTCTCTCTCCTTCTCTCTCTCGTTCTCTTGTAGACCTACGTACGCACAACATCGCCGCCGTACGTGTCTCTAATTAATCGCCACCACCACCGCCAGCGTCGATCGGCGTTACGCCGTAAGAATGCGCGGCCTGCCGGGGGTGAGTGTTCCTGACGGCTACGATCGCCGTTCGAATGACGTGACCGTGCTCATAGGAGAGTAGCTTATCGCCGGCTCAGACCTCGGTGTCGTATGTTGTAAAGGGGATCCTCAGATCTGCGATACGCGAGACACCGACGGGGTTGAAATTGAAACTTGACAAGATCGACCCGCGCGCGTCGCCGTTCAAACCGTTCTGGCTACTCTCACCGCTGATTTTATTAGTCTCGATTAGTTTCTTTTTTTTTCTTTTTTTTTCTTAAATAATCGTACACTTTTGATATAATCTGTCAGTAAATTTAATAGCTGGGAATTCAATAATTTACAAGTTAGGCACATATCTTCCGGATATATTGCGACCCTCTTTTGACAAAATATCTTAGCTCCCGCATGAAACAATAAATGCGTAGAGTCGGTGGAGAAAAGATTGCAACATTCTCGCCCCGATGAACTTCGGAACGGATGTCTAGTATTCGACAAGAGAGTTTATCTTCTGGAAGCGATAGAAAAAGAAAGTCAAAAATCCCTGTTGGAGACGTGCGCGTTGCGACACTCATCGAGAAGAAACACTATTGCAACTCGTCGTCCACCGACAACGACCGTCTCCGAAGAGGCAAGCACGAGGGAATTAATAGCGTCGTTCGGTCGAAAGGTTGAATCGCCTAATGACATTACTCAACCCGCTCGTTTACCAACGTGCGTCCGTCCGTCGCGCTCGGTTTATTTGGTTTAAGTTGACGTTTCTCTCTGCACCGAGTCGCGTCGCGGATGAGTACATATATCCGCCGCGTGTACCTCGCCTCGCCATTGCCGTCGCTGCTGCTCTCCTCTCTCGAGCGCAACGAGTTTTATTAACTTCCCCGAAGCGCGCGCGTCTCAAAATACACGGTTGCCCCGCATCGGGAGACACCCGAGAGAAGTTAGATCTTGCGTTCGTGTGTGCCCGACAAGAGAGATTACAATAAATTGCACACGCACCCTTCTCGAAATACAAGACGACCACTGCTCGGCGCAGAAGGGAAGAGGGGCGGCGGGGAGGCGGAAGAGGGGAGGAAAAGATTCCTGTTCGCGATACTGTGTTCTCCCTATTGTGCCTAGCGTCGCTACGCCTCGCCCAAAGGGCGCGACGTTCCACAGTGGTCTCGTTTTTCTCTCACCTTTTCCGCCATTGATTACGGGACCGGCGTTTTCTCGATGGCGCGGTCACTTGCGTCGAGCTTGGAAATCACATTATTCTTCAAACTGCTGGAGCGCGCGCGTACGCCGGAGGTTCGGCGGAGGTACACCGTCAATAAACAATACAAATTTCATCGTCGTCTTTTGGGTGAACGTTAGAAGCGTCGAATGATAACAAGTGAGCCAGTTTGTAATTTCTTGCAAAAATTTCCCCAAATTCATATAACGATGCATCTTGTGTTTCCGATGAACGTTGAGTATGAAACTGCAGGGGATAAATATTTTTGCTCTTGCGTAACGCATTTTCTCAAGAACTTGTCGCTTTCACCGCTCCACCGTCGTTGGTAGTGGCAATGTTAATGATCTTCCCGTAATTGATTCTCTCGATTTCGCCTCGAGTTGAAACTCGCATGAAACCCAGACGTCATTTTTCATCTGAAAAACCGCACCGAGCGATCTGCTCGGTGAAATAAAATCCAACACCGAGTCGCCATGAGCACCGCGATTCTATGCACTGCACTTGAAGATTCGTACTTCGCAAATCACCGAGATTAATCTCTCTCTCTCTCTCTCTCTCTCTCTCTCTCTCTCTCTCTCTCTCTCTCTCTCTCTCTCTCTCTCTCTCTCTCTCTCTCTTTCCCGGCCGCGACTTCCGAGTCATCGCGGCCGGACCGCGACGGGACATTGCAACAGTGTTACTCGAGCATGCTTCGTGCGGCCAGGACACCCTGTGTGCATTTGAAAATTGCAGCGCGGCTAACTCTCGACACCCTCAAGGACCCGGCAAATATGCACTTCGTTATACCGCTGCGCACGGGACTTTATGAAGGTTACATAGGGATATGAATTTCAACGTCGCGCGAGCGCGAGCGCGAGCGTTGACGAGAACCAGCCCGGAGGGGTTGATACCGGAGGGATCGTGTCCGCAAAGGAGAGAAAAAGAGAGGCAGAGAGAAAGAGAGAGCAAGGAAGACGGAGGGAAAGGGAGGGGGGGGAGAGAGAGAGAGAGAGGGAGAATGATATTTTAATAACGGCCCACGCCGGTAATATCTACCGGCGATTCCTACGGAGCCCGGAATGATACGGTGTGTGTGTGTGTGTGTGTGAATGTGTGTGCAACACTTACACAAAAACATGCGAGTGCTGTGAGCGACGTAGCGCGTCGAGGGCTGAGAGAGAGAGAGAGAGAGAGAGAGAGAGAGAGAGAGAGAGAAAGAGAAAGAGAGAGAGGAGAATCCTCCGGGGACGCCCAGCAGCTACATTAACACCGGCTCTCGATATTGCATTCCTTTCCTTTGACGTCGGCCGGATGTCAATTATTAATGTTATTATCCAGATGCCGCGCCGCGGGACGGAGATAGCTGTACATCCCGCGCTGCGGAATTCCACCCTGCCGGCGCGTCCCGACCGGACACGTTCGAACATTTTTATTCAGCGTGCCGCTGAATAATTGATCGGCGAATCAATCGCGACTGTGTCGGCCGTTGCGCGTTCCGCACGTGACGAGACGTCGAGAGACTTGATCGACATTCGTTTTCTTCGGTTCCTTTCGATATATCGACCCCCGCGATTTGATAAATATAAAAAATAATAATAATAAAGGAACTTGAGAACACACGCGAAGGTACACAGAGAAGGTGAAATAAAATATCACCGAGTGATCGATAAATCATCGCGCACTACTCGAAACGATTCGCGTGACCGTCGAGGGACGTGCATCGAAGAAAAAGCGCGCTTTAAGCGCACGTTAAAGACCGTCGTGCTTAAACAGGCGGCTCGCACGCGCGACGGAGAGCGGGGTGGCCGCTTTCATACACGTACGAGAGGGTGAGTTGATTATGGCAGGGCGGCGGGTGAAGGGAGAGGGTGAAAACGGAAACCGCACGCTTCGTGGCTACATTTCCCCGACCTATCAATCCTCTCTCTCTCTCTCTCTCTCTCGCCCTCTCTCTTTATTTCTCTCCCTTTGCTAATAAACGGACGGTTAAACTTTTTAACGAGCGGTCAGACCTCCACCGCCTAAGCGCGCAACCGCCGATCGCTCCACGCGGGATTCTTTCACGCATTGCCGATGGCTCAATGGTCGTGCACGTGCATACACGCCCACGCGTGCTATAACAGCACCCTCCAGAAAGAGAGGAAGAGAGAGAGAGAGAGAGAGAGAGAAGGAGCCTCGGGTATTACTTTCAGTATCGCCCGAGATGCCTGTACCTTCGCGTGAGTGTGTGCGTTTGCACGTATAAGCGTGACCTCGCGCAATTATTTCTAACAACCTCGGAATGGTACAGCGCGATTCTCGAGAGAGGGAGAGTAAGATCACGATGTATGAATCGCCAGCCCCCCTTCCCTTTGACTTTTTCCCATCATCGGCTAATAATACCGAACACTCGCGGGATGGGATTTCAACGCGCTCGCAACAGTCCGGAAGATCCTCTCGTAACTTTTTACTCGGCCATAGTTCATTCAACGGAGATTGACGTCCCGATTTCGTGAATAGATTTTCGTGGTGTGATCGTTCGCTCGTCGTTTGCCCTGGTTTGCGAAATATCACGAGAGCGACGGAAAATGCGACCGCGGGTCGCATTTTCCGTCGCTCTCGTTGAATTTTCGTATGGGAAACGAAACCGCGATTTCTTCGTGATCACTCACGTATCCGTATCCCTCTAACGGAAGTTCTGTGCGTTCTGTTTCAGGATCAAAGCGATCCAGGATTTCTGAAAGCACGACGGCAACGATCCTGTCGACCAGCGATACTGGTAACGAGGACGACCGCGATTCCGACTCCGGCGGCGAATTGCGAGCCGACCGTTCACTCGGTACGACCATTATAAATATTGTCTGCTTATTATATCTGTATTTCTTTCCAACGTTTAATATATAATATGTAGTATATCGTAGAGAAAGAAATAGGGGGCGAGGGGAGGGAGAGGTATGAAGTTCGAACGAAAAAAAAGTACACTTAAACGTAATACAAAATCTAATGTTTTCTAACTTTCATCAACGTTAAAATTTCTTCCTCCGGCATTTCTTCCTCCGTACCTGTGCTTATTACTTATTAATGTTTGTTATTACAGCTCCAGAAAAACAATTTATAATTAAACGATTTTCATTAAATATCTTTTTCTCTCGTGAGGATTGAGAGTCGCAACCAACTTTTAAAGAGGAACACTTCAAATATCTCAATCGACTTCTAGATTGTTCATGAAAGCAAGTCCAGGTGGCGGGGATAAAAATACAATAACAACCCTTAGTTACACTTAACGTGCGCCAAGGGCAGCAATTAACGTCAGTGCTTCAATTATCCCTCGTTACAACCGCCTGCCTAGTTCCCCTAACCAGCAACGTAACTCTGCCCTTCTCTTCTCCCCCTCCCCCCCCTCTCTCTCTCTCTCTCCGGTCACGAGCTAAGCCGTGAAGTCTCTCCGTGCAAAGTGCCTCTGCCAAGTAACGAAACGGTCGAAATTGTCTTCTTACAGTGGTGTCGACGTCGTCGGGTATACCGGAGTCCGAGGCGGCGAGGAAACGCACCAGCAGCCTCAACGACTCCGAAGAAGGCAGCCCCGAGCCGGGCTCGCAGAGCCCGACGCATACGCCGCCGCTAACCCCTGCCCTGACGCCGCAGAGGGAGGACACCCCGGCGCCGGAGAACCTCAGTCTACGCAAGAGCGGAAGCCCGCTGCAGACGCAGCAGACTCTGCAACCGGTGGATCTGGTACAGCCTAGACCTAGTCCCCCGCTACCCTCGCTAGCTGTGAGTCCTGCAAGTTTCGATCTTATGACGGGGAGGGAGGTAGAACGTCGACGCCGTCGTTCGCGACGTTGACGGGTCGATTCGCGCGTCTCGTTCCGAATAATTCTGAAATAATTCCGAAAATTGTACATCGACGCGTGTCATGATGCATCGGGAAGGATAGTTACATGAGCAAAAATTATTAGGGCTCATAAAGCATAAGATCCCGATAAGGCTGAAAATAGGATGCCTCGTTACTGCCTAAAAAGGAATGCCTCGTTACTACCGCATCAGGTCCTGAGATGAATCTTTTAGGGATGCCTTACATTTTACAAAATAAGACAAAATTGATAGGAAAAGCTACCAATAAGATCTGAAACGTGTAATAAAATTGTCATAGTTTGGTATTGTTTTAGTAGGTACTCCCCCCCCCTCTCTCTCTCTATCTGGTTCTTTTAAAGATTTTTTAATTATACCGCAATTAAAAACAAATTTTATTAGTTTTATTCGTTTATCCATATTCATTAGTCTCTTCCAAAGATTTTTCTAGTATTGCCTTCGTTTTGAAATGCAGCAAACTTTAATAAAAACAGTAGGAGGATTTTTATCTCTGAAGAATGCTAAATTTTATTGTAAAGTATGCTATATTTTTAAAATAAAAAAATCTTGTTGTATACTAACGAGGTTATATAAAGCAATAAAGAAATTACAGTGTAAATTTCTTGGAATGAAAAGAATAAATATTTTTACTCAGGCGATAATAAAAATATTGCCTTATACGGCCCTATTAATACTGCGTTATGAGGCTCTGTTGATATTGCCTTATAAGTCTCTCATAATATTGCTTTATAAGGAGCCGTTAAACCGTTTGTTATATATCTTGTAGGGTCGTTGTCTTTCTATCCTTACTGTAGGACCCGATTAATGTCAGGGAAAAAATAATCAGGCTCCTACCAAAGCTCTATTAATTCTTCTACTCGGGTAGGCTCGTGCTATTGGTGATTACCAAAATTACCAATTTGAAACCTGTGACTTGAGTGACTCACGCTCAGACTCCAGAGTTTTGCTTTCAAATTCGAGTTGCTCAGGTAAATCGCACGCGACGTTATATTTACAAGCGCGGGTCTGAAAACGCACATCGACATTTTACCTGTTTCCTCGACCACCTGTCATCTTTACTCGAGAAGGTGCGGGATGATGGATAGGCACTGGCCGAACATTCTTAAACGAGACACTCGCTCGGTTGCAGGCCGCGGCGACGGCGGTGCATTTTCCGCCGTATGCACCTCTCTACGGGCCGACGGCGAGCTCGCTGTACTGCTCGCCGGCGTTGTATCAGCACCAGCACCATCATCACATACCGGAGCCGCGAGAGATTCAAATGCAGATGCAGATGCAGAACATTCAGCAGACCTGCGGGCTGCAGCAGCTGCAGCAGCAACAGCAGCAGCAGCAACAGCAGCAGCAACGCTCGCCGGTGGACGTTCTGCTGCGCGTGTTCCCCGGAAGACGTCGCGCCGACGTCGAGGCTCTCCTCCATCGTTGCAAAGGTAGGCTTTCGTTTATTCCCTTCCGTTCTGTTGGCTCGCCCGACACTCGAGCCCAAAAGTTCGAGGGATTTTCTTTCATTTGATTACATGTGTGCGATTAATACAACCGGACTTAGCGTGAGAGCACTTCTCCGTGGAAGATGTGCCGTTTGATTGGAAATTCTCAAAGTTCCGAAAGAAGCTTCCGCTGCTCGCGACTTGAAGTTTAAGTACACATAAACAACGAGGAAGGACACTTTTATTTGATCTGTACACTTGGAACGTTTATTTCTCGTCATTAGGAGATTAGTTACTCAAAAAGTCGCGTATGCGACAAGTCAAAGATGGCTTCGCTCTGTCGCTCTGAGAAAACTTCACGCGTTTACGCGACTGTCGGTGATTGTCTTCTAGGTTGCTTAACGTTTACTCGAGAACTTGCAGTGTTCCTTATGATTTGCTTCTTACGCTCTCTCGGCGTTATCGTCCCTTCCGATGCTCCCGAAGCTCGCTCGGCCGGAAGGACGAGAGAGACAAAAGCGGAAAAAGACCGAGAGAATTTGCCCGTGTGTCGCAGGCGACGTGGTGTCCGCCATGGAGGTGCTGGTCTGCGAGGACAGTCTGCAGCCGAAGTCGGCGTTCTCGCCGTTGGCGGGCGCCCTGGCGTCGGCCGCCGCGGCGTCCGCGTCCGTCTCGGCGGCGTACGCGAGCCGCGCCGCGTACTGCACCACCCCGATACCGTCTACGCGGCACCGCTTCTTGGCGGCGCCGTACACCGGCACCGGCTACCTGCCCACGGTCATCAAGCCGCCGAGCCAGAGCCTGCACGCCAACGGCACCGGCGACGCCTACCGGGAGACCAGCCCCGACGACGCCAGCGACAAGACCAGCTACTCCGAGTGACCTGACCCAGGTCACCACGCCGCCTGGTCGTACCTTCAGTAGCGTCCTAACGGGCCACGACGACGACGACGACGACGACGACGACGACGATGACGATGACGACAACGACGACGACAACGCGACGAGGAATCGCTCGCTCTCGCGACGCCTCGATGTGTGTAGCTCGGCCGGAAATTGTTCCCGAAACAACGACGCGATCGTTCGATCCGTGTCTTGCCCGAGCTGAGCGAGAAGGGAGATCGTTCTCGAAGAGGGTGAGGTGCTCGACAACGCGGAGACGCTTGAGATCGCGCGACGGTGGGATCAACGGCGTCTGTCGAGAAACTAGTTGCGACCAAGTTGGGATCAGCTGCTGGCTGATCGATTATCAGCCGATCGTACCTTCCCGGTAAACGAGTTTGAGTCTCCCGAGTAATAAGCTCGCTCGTAAGCTCTGAATGCGCAGAGTAGCGTGATGAATGGATCTCTACCGGCGGGTTGTCGTTGAACGTTGCGTTCTACCGACGGAAGAGCGTAATGAAAAAAGGAGAAGAAGAGAGAGCGAGGAACGTAAGAACGAAGAAGGGATAGAGGACATAACTCTGTGAGACGTAACATTGCAAGCGCCAAGATATATGACGGAAAGGTTCCGTTTGAAGGAAGAAACCAGCCACCACTTCCAGGAGATCCATGAAGTTTATATCGTCTCAAAGAGAGACCCCGACGCGGTGTTGGGTCTGCTCGTGTCACCGACACGCCTGCGGCCGGTACGCATCGCCGAACACGACGACGTCGCAACGAGGCTGTTCCAGAATGAAGACAATAAACGAGCCGTTGTCTCGAAGGGAAGAAGCCGCGAACGCTCGGGAGGTGTTCGCGCCGAGATGTCGAAGACAGTCGACAGGGGTGTCTGACAATCCACTTTAGTATCCTACGCAGTTGGCACGTTGCGTATGCTGTGCAACATCGAAGCGCATCGGTGATAAGGGAGAGGACGAGCGGAGGAGCGCTGGGATCGAGTCGGCATCATCGAAAAGATCGAGAGGGGAAGTGGAAGAAGAAAAAGAAGAAGAGGAGTGCCAACGGATGACGAGAAAAATTCAGTTCAGGCTGCTGATTCATCTCATCGCAGTATACTTTATACATGTGTAGATAAAGACTTATCATAGACAGATATGTGTGTGTGTGTGTGTGTGTGTGTGTGTGTGTGTGTGTGTGTGTGTATGTGTAGGTCTCCCGAGACGAAGAGTAATATCAGAGGACACGGAGAGAGGGAGGGTGAGGTGAGTCTGTGTAAATACATCCGCTGTTTTAGCTAATTACCTTGCATTAATCTGAGACTTCGAAACCGGAAATATGTTAAACGTGTTTGGAAACGCGCGTAAATATACACATAAGTGTTTGCCTGTAAGTATAACGCCTGCAAGATATCTAGATTTTTGGGCCGCTAGCGACCGGAAGCATCGTTCTCTACGTAGTTACCATGACATGTTACTCGAAAAAGAATGTATAGAACGAAGATACATCCAATAAATAAGCTATTGATACTCCATACACGTTCATTCTTGCCGTTCGTGTGCAGATGTGTGTGTGTGTGTGTGTGTGTGTGTACATGTGTATGCGCGCACGCCATCGAATCCGTTAAATTAATTTTTCACGCAACGAAACCTACCGATCTAACTTATTCGGGTCTTTCGCTTTGTTAAATTTTCGTTGTGCTTTCAGCTAAATTTTCACCGACATTCTGTCAATGCAGTTATATCCGCGACTAACTGATGATGATCGATAATCTGAGAGAAAAAATGACGCGCAAGCACGAAGACGGAAGATCTTGCGAGCAACTTTCCGTATAAATTTCACAATTTGTACCGCTGTAGAGGTCTCAATCGCGATTTTTCACGAGTGCGTCCGCAGATGGAACGTAATTCGTTATGACAGAAAGACCGGAACCGGACCGCCGTGTCTCTTCAGATGCAAGAGATAAAGAGCGAGGACTGATTTCACGAAAGACGGTCTTCCGGCTGAATGGAAATTTCACAGCGAACCGCAGAGGAAAAGGTATCGGATGACGGGTGCCGTTCGCAGGTGAAGAAACAAGATACGCGATACCGTCGAATTCCCGAAATCGTTTCACGCTCGATCGATTTCGAAACGCGCTGTCCGCTTCCGATAAATTAATCCCGATCAATGCGAGCAGTCAATTCTGCCGCTCAATTTGCACGGATACAGTCGCAGAAGGCGGCCATCATCAGGTTTCCCACAAGGTGCACGCGCGTTTCTCCCGTGGAAGCCATCGCTTGTTCGCCTTCAGGCGATTCCACGCGTCAATTTTGAGCCACGCGTGAAATGTAATGTCACGATGAAAATAAAATAACGGCGCAGAGATAAGAGCGGAAATGGGAAAAGACGGATCGCACGCGACAAATTCCTCGGCGACTCGCGAGTCATAATTACGGGGAATATCACAATTCAAGAAAATGAAAAGTAGATATTTTCGCATATAAAATTTCACTCAACTGTTTGAGAAATAATATCTGAGAAATGATACATTTATTTGTTCTTGACGCGTATATCCATCGTGCGAATCGTGTGGAAAATTAAATTTCGACTTTGACTTTGGGCACAATATTGCTAAATATCATCACCCAAGTTTCATCATCACTTTAACAATTATACTTTTTACAAAACTCCTCTCTTTCTCTTTTTCTCTCTTCCGAGCGATATCTCCAAAGTTGACGACACCAAAGCAATCGACGACCAATCAGTCTCGCTCGAACGGTATTTGCCGCGCGATTTCGGCCGCGAGACGTGTCAATCCTCGTCGCGGGGACAGCTACGTGATAACGGCTACTTCGGCAATTACGTCGGCGGTGTATACGTCGGTAGGCTTAGGTACACGGTATCGATGGGACACCGATAATCGACTGGCCTCTACAAGGCGCATATCCGATAGGTCGATGCCTGAACACGCGCCCGGCGTTATATACCCGGCAATTTGTGCCCGTGCGCGCGCGCGCGCGTTCGCGCTGCACACGGGCATTATAATCCCCGGTTATTATTTACGAGGCATGGCCGCCCGGTTTTCCAGGGGTGGCAATATATCGACACCCCGCGGAGTTTCCTCCTTTGGCTACTGGTTACCATTCATAATGGAGCATAATAGCACTCTCCTCCCTCTCCCCCGCCCCTCTCTTTCTCTCTCCCCCTCCCTCCCCTCCCACTCTCCCTCTCCCTCACTCTTTTACCTTTGGCGAGCGAGCTTAATCCGCAGTCGGATAGTGCAACCAACCCCCTACCTTCTTCGCATCTCGCGTCTGCAGCGAGGAATTTTAAGCCACCGTGCGGAGCGAGGGGTTGTTAGAGTTGGAAACCGATCCGGTTGTTGCGAGAGGGGAGCGCCGGTATAGATAGGAAGCGTAATTTCAGGCTCTGCCGAAAGAGCGAAGGTGAGCTCGAAATGATGAGATTGTTCATCGAATCGTGTTCGTGTCGACGAGTTCGGTATTTAAAGTCCCTCCGCTTCGCTCTTTGCTTCGATCCGCCAATCTTTCCAAGTGAGATCTCGGTTGACAATTGATAATAGCTGTCTTAGGCGATTAGCCCTCAGTCGTTTGCTTCTCGATAAACAATATATTACTATTTCATTTTATTCCATTTTATCTCTCTCGTGACAATATGAATGTATCGCGTGATTCGCCTCGTGACAATTATTGGAACTGTAACAATTAGGCATGAGCGTAGTTCGAAAAGATCTGTGAGATGAAAGACGAGACAGAGGAAATATCTCGACAAGCGCAATCGAACGACTGTGACGCCATTAAGTGCCATTATGCGTATCCTAAGACGTAATTTTAAATTTAGTCGAGAGTAGTGCGATTCTCGTCGAGACAGCACGGCGACGTTACATAATCCCGACGAGGAGACTTTTACGTCCTCGACTGCTTCTTCTTGTTCCTTTTCTCTTCTTTTTTTTTTCTTTTCCCTTATCGAAGCGACGAAAATTTTCGTCCTCGTAAGGTATAGCTGACCGAATAACGAGTCGGATGGCTTTTAAAATTTTTTCGACTTCCATCAATATTTGCTCCCTCGCTCGCTATTTCCACCTCGTCTTCTTCCACCGATGAGAACCGAGGGCTTCCCCCCTCCGCCCTAGCCTACCCTAACCACACGTGCACCCACGAGCGTATTTTTGTACGTCGGTTACACGTCGGGCCCGCGTAAATATGCGTACGAGTGCGTGGAAGCCAATCGAGACGGGCGAGAGGGAGAGGGAGAGAAAGATCTCTTTCGGGCCTTCTTCTCTTCTTTGGATCGGAAGAGAGAATAAAGTGTTGCCGAACGTCGGCAAACATGGCGCCGTGTTTGCTCGCGCCATGGAACGATAGGTCCCCGACGACGGTACCACCAAACCTGCGTACACAGGTATGACATATTTGTGTGTTGTTGTCTATGTGTGTGTCTCATTTTAATGTGTGCGAAGGATGACATCTGTAACGGAGATCGGGTGTCCTTTTGCCGGGTGCCACTTGGTAAAAAAACGCCGCGTTTTTAACATGTTCCCCGATCCACTCCGCGAGCCGGAACGATCCAAAGAAGTCGATCGACATTACTTGTGTTTCTCTCCTTCAGTTTTATCAGCCAATAGAACGAGCAATGTTTCGTCAGCTGCAGCGTTACGCAATGATGTGATGAATTTATCATGAAATAATTCGATAAAAAATGTGAGAAGAAATGAAAGACGGTAAGGCAAACAGGCTTTCGATAAAATTTCGTATCGGTGATGAGAATGATTCGAATAAATCGCTCGGTATTATTTTTTTTTCTTAATGTCGTTAGCCTTCTCTGATGTAACAAGCAATTTTTCATCGGCCACTGTCCGATGACAATTTTAATAAAAATTCTGCGAAGAAGTGAGTGAGTGGCTGCGATCGAGCGGATTTTCGACAACGATATTCCGCGTGAGAACGTCGTTACGAACGTCGCGTTGCATTATCACCTTTCCATGTATTCCAACTGGGAAATGTTTCATGCACGTATCGAGATATCTCATTGGCTCGTCATTCCGTTCGGCGACGCGAGAAGGAAGAAGGAAGGCGGCAGCCGACGACGGAGGACGAACGGAGTAATGGACCCCGGGGGCAACGACGGCGGGGTCGCGCCGGTGCAAATCAAGACTCCCTTCCCCTTTCTTCCTTCCCCTCGTCTGCCAGCCGAGGGGCGTCGCGAAACAATTCCCAACTGAATAATATTAGTATCTAACAATGGACGTGCTAAATTGAAATACAGAGAGCACCACGCTGTTTCACGAGACTCGCGCCGCCCCGCATTCTCGGCGCCGTTATAAACGTCCGGCTCCGTGAGTGTGTGTACGTATGTGTGAGTATGTAGGCATCGTGTGCGTATACGAGGGTACATGTGGATATGAAATGTCGTGGTGCACGTAGATAGATCACGTAGCGGCTGTACCCACTTCGCGTGTTCGGGGTGTTAGTTCGTTGGCAGGCGCTAAGATCACGGGTTGCGCGACGCAATACGAAGCTGCTCAAAGCGAGAAATAGCATGCAAATGAAATATTAATTAAATCTAGGAAAATTCGCCGTCTCTCTCTCTCTCTCTCTCTCTCTCTCTCTCTCTCTCTCTCTCTCTCTCTCTCCCTCTTTTCCTAGCCGACAATCATTCCGCGACCGAGCTAACCTTACCGTTTCCCGTAGACTATCCACTCTTCTCGCTCGCGTTCTCCGCGTTGCGCGCGATAAAAATCGTGGGTTTGTACTCAGACATACATGCGATGTCGAACAGACACTATATCTATGTACAGTACTTGAATTTCGATGTTTTTTAAGAACGTGAATTAATTTGCAGACGAATTCACGCGCCGCTGAGTAATTCGTCTTCTCATTTCTACCGTCTCATTATTATCGCTTTCGGTCGTGTTCTCACATCGTGTTTACACGAAATTACTTGTGGACTCTATATATGTTTCAGTTGTATTAAATAATACGGGAAATTATACCGCGTAGCGACCAGATAAATCCACGATAATTATATAACAGTAACTGGATCGAATCTAGAATTTTTTTTTTAAGGGACGCCAATACAAGTGTACTCTCGCTCGCACGGCATACCCTTCCCGCCGGCGAACAAACCGCCGAGAGCGATCCACCCCTTCCACGC